AGATGTTGAGACAATTTAGGAAACTTGATGTTTTGTTCCAAGATTTAAGGAGATTTTTCTGCATAATTGGTGCAGCCCTCGACTTGTGGATCAAGAAATATCTGGGTGAAAATTTCAAAACCCATGGACTACTGAGGAGTATTTAAAGAGAACCCTAGACCTAATGTAATTTAACTTTTCACAATTGTAAAACTAAGAGAAGTCTTAAGTCTTAGGTTTTGAGAGTCTCTTGTGTTTTTTCAAGTCACTCATGTATCTTTTGATACATTGAGGTAGACTGATTGTTACTTGATTGTTTATCAAGTTATTGTTTCTCACTCTTTAAGCTTTTAAGCATAGAGTTGAGTATTGTTCTTGGTTGAAGCTTTTAAGCAAAATTAAGTGTCATTGTATTGGAAGTGTAATCTTCTATTGAGTTCTTTTGGTCTAGTCACAATGTTTGTGGTTATAGGTATATCACTACGGTGATTGAAAGTGAAATTGGGATCTCATATCTAGATGGTGATTTCTAGGTAGAAGTTGCACAAGGTAGTGATTATGCGAGAAGTTGTAAACTGGGACTGTTTAGGCTTTGAACTAATACCATCATAGTGAATTTCATTCCTGGCTTGGTAACTCACAGAGTAGGTGACGTTTCACCGAACTTGGTTAACAATTTGTTGTGTTATTTATCCTTCTGTATATTTTACAGTCTGATGTTATTGTTCTGTATCAGGAACAAATATCGTAACATCTATCTTGACATTGTGTTCTGATGTTGAGTCGTCAGTATTAACATGTGTTGCAAGTGTCAGAATTTCAATTAATATTATAAATCATCAAAATAAAATATTTTAAATTATCAATAAGACGGATTTGGGGTACTAGTGTCTTCATTACTCATATTTTAAAATCGGATAAATTCTAAACCTAGTCAAAATAGATTTTCTCTGTCAAACTCGAGGTCAAATCGAACGAATACCCACAAATATGGGTTTTGTGTCCATGTCTAACCCTTCATTAATTTCTTATTTTCTTTTGATTTATGAATGAAGAAAATCCAGTGATTCATTAAACAAATTTATTTATGAATAATGATCATGACATTTTACTCAAAGGTATAGATCATCATTTGCTAATTCCATACGTTTAATTTCCAAGTTCCTCTACATGAAAAGACTCAAAAGTTTGAATCTATAAGTAACATTGCATGTGGTTTTAAAAGAGACAGCAATATTACAAGGGACATCAATAATCAATTTTATTTTAGAAAATTTTGTGTAACTAAAACTAAAAATCAGTGTCTGTCTCTCTTCCATCCACAAAAGTGACCAAATCTCACGGCAACACCACACAACCTTTGAAAAAGTCACAACTTACCTTAAACATTCAGAAACCTTAAACTAATCCCACACTTATGCCGATAACTCAGCAACTTTCCCATGTTCCATCACTATTCACACCCCCTTATATCCCTTCACACACCCCTCCTCATTCCTTTAAAAAAACAAACTCGCCCTCTCTTTCTCTCATCAATCCTCACTCTCTCTTCATTGCAACAACCATGGCTGCAACTTCACCTCCATTGAAAGATGAACTTGACATTGTCATCCCTACTATAAGAAACCTAGATTTCTTAGAAATGTGGAGGCCATTTTTCGAACCTTATCATTTGATCATTGTTCAAGATGGTGACCCTACAAAAACTATCAAAGTTCCACCTGGTTTTGATTATGAACTCTACAACAGGAATGATATTAACAAGCTTCTTGGTCCTAGAGCTTCTTGTATCTCGTTCAAAGACTCTGCATGTCGTTGCTTCGGTTACATGGTTTCCAAGAAGAAATACATCTTCACCATTGATGATGATTGTTTTGTAAGTTTCTTTCAATCATTTTTCTCTTCTTTTTGAGGAGTTTCCTTTTTATATGTTTGTTTTTTTATTGTGTTAGGTTGCTAATGATCCATCTGGAAATCAAATCAATGCACTTCAGCAGCATATTAAGAACCTTCTGTGTCCTTCAACACCTTTGTTTTTCAATACTCTCTATGATCCTTTTAGAGAAGGTGCGGATTTTGTTCGTGGATACCCTTTTAGTCTTCGCGAAGGTGTTCCAACAGCTATCTCTCATGGACTTTGGCTCAACATTCCTGATTATGATGCTCCTACACAGCTTGTCAAGCCACTTGAGAGGAACACTAGGTAACGCACTCAGCACATCAGTGATGGTTGAATCGAGATTGTATAGATGTTTTTAGTTTAATATTTGATTTGAGTATGTTTTGTGTTGATGTTATAAGGTATGTGGATACTGTTTTGACTATACCAAAAGGAACATTGTTTCCAATGTGTGGAATGAATTTGGCTTTTGATCGTGATCTGATTGGACCAGCTATGTATTTTGGTCTCATGGGAGATGGTCAGCCTATTGGAAGATATGATGATATGTGGGCTGGCTGGTGCTGCAAGGTTCTTTTCATTTCTTTCTTTTTCAATTCAACATGTTATTATTTTTTAGACGATCTATATAACACCGACACCTCTGTTGTTGTCAGTATCGACGTATCAATGTGGTGTCGATGCTTCATAGCTTATGATTTATAATAGTTAGAAATTATGAAACACAGACACATAACTGACATGGACACTGACATGTCGATACAACTGACATTGTGCTTTTCTTCAGAGGTGTCGGTGTTACAGAGACTAGAAATTCAAGTTTGAGTGGTAAAAAGATATTCTTACATTGTTAAGGATCATTGTTTATTTATGATTTGGTCAGGTGATTTGTGATCATTTGGGGCTAGGAATCAAGACTGGACTGCCCTACATCTTTCATAGCAAAGCAAGTAATCCATTTGTGAACCTAAGGAAAGAGTACAAAGGGATATTCTGGCAGGAAGATATCATTCCATTTTTCCAAAATCTTGTTCTTTCACAAGAATGCACAACTGTTCAAAAGTGTTACATTGAAATGTCAAAGCAAGTCAAAGAAAAACTTGGAAAGATTGATCCTTATTTTGACAAATTGGCAGATGCTATGGTCACTTGGATTGAAGCTTGGGATGAACTTAACCCTTCCAAAGCATCTTAAGCTAATCACAAAGCCTAAAAAAATCATAAACTACTAGAAAATGTTGAAATAATGACGAAAGTCAGAGACTGAAAAAAATAAATTGGTCGCTAAATTTGATGCTTAGAGATGGATTTTTTTCCGTCTCTAAAATTGTTACTATTTTAACTTTTTGAGATAGTTCGTGAAGTGCAAACATAATCGTCGATGAATTTGAGCTATTTATATTGTGTGTTTTTCTAAAATGCTTTGTTATTTATATTATTGTGACTTAGAATTTGCAGCATTGTTAGCTGTAATTCTAAATTATAAAACTTTGTTGTTTGAGGTTAGAAGCAATAAGGTACAATGATCTAGGTCATTGTTACTTGTGATTTTTGTTTTATGAGTTCTAAGTGATCTTTGTTTGTTGGACCTTTTATATCATTTTGGAAGCAATGTGTTGTTATGTGAAAACATGTGTTATTGGAAAAATGTTAATGTATGGTTCATTTAGTCTTCATTAAACGTTTTAAGTATAAATCATTAGTGTAACAAGCAGTGTAAACTATTTTTACACATGTATATCCAATCAAACTACATGACGTAGTTTTTCTAAATTCCTTTTAAAAACTCGACATTCAACCATAGAACCGACTAATTCACCAATCAAACTACACCAATCTAAATTCTTTTTTCTAACATTCTTTTAAGAAACCCAACATTTGACCCTAGAACCAACTAACTCATAGAGCAAAGATATGTATGGAACTATAATAACTGTAGTATGAATGGCATTGATTTCTTTTTTATAATGGTACTGCTGCATCCTGCATGCGTTAGGTTCTGTCATGTACTAAACTCTCTGAATGAATTGCAGTGGTAATTACTGTTACATTTGAATTTGTGTCACATACACATACTAGTACTATGTGTTTGCTGCATTATTGGTAATTACCAGTTCTTGTACCCTGGAAAACATATGTGGTGAGTTCTTTTACCCCCCTCACCGACACTAGTACTGATTCTTTTAGGGGACACAAAAGTATTACTAGTGGTATCTCATTAATAGCTTATCAAAATAAGTCATGAACTAGTAAAGAAATTTACAACCTTTTGTGAGTAAATCTTACTAAAAGTAAGTTATTTTACCATTAGATATAATATAGTGGATGTATAGTTAGGTTTTTGACAGCCAAAATCAATTCTAATAATATAGAATTGATTTTTGAATAATTTTGAGGTGTTTAATTTTTCTAAAATATAATTGATTCTGCCTCCAAAATTTACTGTTGCATAAAGTTATTCAAAAATAAACCACATAACATTCAACGCAGTTTTACCATAATTAATTCACTCAAAATCAATTTTTTCCACAGCAGAAGAGTTGTTTTAAAAATCAAGAATGGATATTACTAAAAGTGAGCTATCTAAGCACTTATTCAATAAATGTTTATATCATATTCATATCCATCATATAAGCGCTTAAATTCAAACGGTAATATAATTATGACACAAGCAACATAATAGTAAGAGACACCTCAAAAAATTAAAATCCTATGGTCCCAAAATTAAAACAACATTACAAAAACAGTAATAAAAAATTGACAAATTTTGAACAGTCTTCAAGAACCTGCATGCTCAAATTTGTTTGCCATAAAAATGTGTCATTATATAAACCAAATCAAAATTAAATCAAAAAACAATTATTATTCAACACAGTACAATTTCCAAACAACAACAAAAAATCTGATTTAAGTAACAATTTTGATGTTATGTGCCTAAATCTCTTGCCACAACATATAACTTAATTACTCATTAAACAAAAAGGCACATAATCTAGAAAAATAACTCAGTTCAGCTCACTTTGATGTGCAAAATTTGGTGAAAACAAATAGGCTTTCTTTAGTAACCAAAAAAATTTGTGGAATTTCATGATAATTTGATTCAAGAGCCTTTTTTTATGAGCTAAGATGTGGCATTATTATCTTCTTCAGTCTTTGGCTTCTTACTTTTAGGTTCTTCTTCTTCATTATCTTCTTCATCGTTGAGAGCATTGAGGGCTGCTTCACCTATCAGAGAGACATGCTTGCTGGTGATTGTTCGTCCCGCCCTTAGTTTTGGACCCCAATGCCTTTCCGGATTTGGAAGAAACCTCGAAACTTTCTTCGCTTGCGCCTTGCTTAGAGACGCTACAGCTCGAGCAAAATTAGCCTGAAAAAAGAGAACACGTACAAGAAAAGAAAACTTTACTACACCGAATAAAGCACTTATTCGATACGCAGTTATCATATGAGAGTTATGTATAAGTTGTTTCTATACTCGTAGAAAGGATGGTTAAATATACCTGAAGAACAGGTTCCTTTGCGAGTATGATACTTCCTGGTTGATCTGCCGGCTGACCTTTAACGGGATGATTTTTAACCTACAATGAAAGGGGCGGAGCGTTATTTGATATAGGAACCGACATCAACAGTGACCGAACAAAAATGAACGAGCCTTGAACATGAGAAAGTGAGTGTTTAAATCCCTTACCCAGCAGCGCATAATGTCCCAAATAACATCCATAGGTGCGTCTGATTTAAGCCCGATTGCACAAACGTGAGATCTAGAGATACGATATCCAGCATTGATCACAGCAGAACGGAAAATAACTGCCGACGGAGATGTGCATTTAAGGGTTGCGCAAAGGTTGTGCAGACTCAAAAATAGTGGAACATCTGGCAATTCCTGCAAAAAGAAAACAAAATACATTGAGAATATTAGAAGATTTGATTCTCAATGAGTCGTAGCACATGAAGAAATGTGATAGGTATAAAAACACACATACCTCTGATATTGTATTCAATATGGCGGATATGTGTTCGTAAGCAGGATAGCTGGATTTCATCCGATTCACGTCTGTTATAATAGAAGCTACCCATTCTTGGTCATGTATAGGAGCAGACCATATAGGACCACCCATAATGAATTTTTTCCCACAGTCAGTGCAATCTTGAGGAACAACAGGACCGAATCCGGGCAAATATCTGACACTAGCGTTCTGAAAGAACGAAAGAAAATAAGTTCAAATGAAAATATCGTCACCACTACAGAAATCACTAATATTATAGTCAGATTAAAATAAAGCAACACGTGTCGCCTTGCTTGGACAAGCAACTTAATTAAAAACGTAAAGCATACGCGTTTATCTTGAATAGGTCATAAGTCGAATATGGTGCCAATTAACAGACTAGAACATGATAGATACCTTGGTGGAGGCCCTTCCAAGAGGTTGAAGGTGGAAAGAATCGCAACCAGTGCACTGATAAACATATGAAAGCTTTAGCGGAGTGTTTTTCATAGCACTTGCAGAACTGCAACCATGTAATTTCATCTTTCAGTTAGAAACAAAATTATATGATTATGAAACATTATGGAACTACCCATTTTATAAAAGACACTGGCAAAATATTTTCTAAAATACATGACTGCAAAACTAAGAGGACTTACGTGTATATGCGAACAAAAACACGAAGATAGAAGTCTTTTTGAACAGATAGCACAGGAACAATATACCGCTTGTATCGATTTGCGTGACTCTGCATTATATTAATTATTAAGAACAAATAAATATATTAAAATTTAAAAGATATTCAACAGATTCAAAATTTAAAAGATATATACCTCAATGGAAGCAAGAACGATCCTCAGGGCCATTTCATGGCAATATTTTCCTTTCGTCGGGTATGATCCATATCTAGTATAAAAATCAGTTGTTAGAAAGCCAATTCACCAAACAGACAGTTGTGCAACGGAAGATCATAGCGAATAAGAGTAATAACATTACTTTGAATAGCAAACCTCCCCGTTTCCTCCACAGAGTACGGCCATATCTGTTGCGGTACACATCAGTATACCTCCATCAGCAACAGCTTGAACTGCTGAATCGAGAAACACGGAAGGTGAACCATATGGATCAAGATCAACCTGGAAGACAGAAATGGTAAAATTAAAGACCATGAAATTGTGTTTTTGTTATATTAAAAGCATTTTTGTCAAATAGCTGCTATAGCGGCGCTATAACACTGTTCATAGCGTAATCTTAACAATCTGCTATTTTCTGCTATCCACGATTGAGAACATTGATGAAAAGGTGAATAAAAGTGCATATTAGTAGCAAGCGTTGACTTACCACGTCGAATTCTTTAGGGTTTGCTAGCATATATACACGAGCATCAGCAAGATGAGACTCCACTTTTGAAATTGCGACCGAGCCATTGAATTGAATGTTCCTTCTGCAAGCTTCAACAGATGCTGCAAGAAAGCAAAATTCAAGAATAAGCATGCAAATGCATAAGCTTAATAATCAAAGAAGCACTTATCTCAAACAAAAGTAGCAATTATAAGTATCCATATAAGCACTTATCTCAAACAAAAGTAGCAATTATAAGTATCCAAATAAGCACTTATCTCAAAGAAAAGTAGCATTGTAAGTATCCAAATAAGCACTTATCTCAAAGAAAAGTAGATTATAAGTATCCAAATAAGCACTTATCTCAAACAAAAGTGCCAGTTTATATAAAATAAAGTGATTTTGACATTCAATAATTTATTATTGTGTTTGTTTGACATAATGAAAATCTCTTTTTGAAACAGTTTAATCAAAAAAAGGGATTTTCATGTGAAGCTACAAAAAACAGATTCCACGGAATAAATTTGAAGATAATGCAAACTTAAAACCCTTAAAGCACCTGGATCATTGTCCAAAGCAACAACTTGACCAATTCCTTCTACTTCACGAGCATATCTGAGAGCCCTTAACCCAGAAGCAGACAAGGCCTCAAGAACCCTCGGTGGCTTCAGCTCCTTTGGTCCTTTTACTTCCGGGTGATTAACTTGCTCTTCATCAGCATCACATTCTTCATCGATCTTACCTGAACCTTCCATGGTAGTGCATGATTCTTCGGGAGAAGCCTCTTCCACTAATTCAGATTTGCCATTCAATTTATGATTCTCTGGTGGAGCTTTGTTATCTACTTCCTCCACAACCGATTCAGAAGAATCATTTTCAGATGATTTCTTTGCCCCTTTTGCTCTCTTCAACAAATTTGCTTCATGCTCTTGCTTCCTTTTCGATATAAATGTCCTCAAAACAGCAATGGATAAATCCCTATTATTAACCTGATCATTACAAAATCAGAACGAATATAAGATCAATATACACAAAACAAAAGTGAAATTTTTTTCACACAAAAAAAACTTATAATAAACAGAAGAATTACATATAAACAAAAATAAATGCATGCATTAGAAGTGCTTTTGGCAAAAGCTATACTTAGCGTATGTTTGATTCTGCGGTGAAAAGAAGAAAAAAAGAATTCGCATGAATTGATTATGTAGAATTGATTCTGGATAAAAATGAGTTGAATGTATCATAATTTATGTTTGAATAACTTTATGCAAAATTGAGTTGAACAGTAAAATTTCAATGTAAAAGTCACATTTAAACTCAAATGCAACAAATTCTAGTTTCAAGTAGAATCAACTTTGGGCCAGAATCATTTCTACTTTAGAAGTTCCGAACACCTCAAAATCATCTAAAATCAATTATACACCTCTAGAATCGCCTTTGGCTCGACCCAAAGCTAAACCAAACATACACTAAGCTTCAAAAAAATTCCCAGTGCTAGCGTGATCTGATAAAATTCACATTGATTCCAAAGATATCCCAAGTGAATAATGACTGTATCTGATACAACCAAACCAGAAAACTCCTTAACAATTCAATTGACAAATCCCAAATCACAAATCATCAACAAAACCCATCTCAACAAATTCACAAAACCCCCAAAATCAGCACCACCCCATTACACAAATTTCAATTTTGTTCGCAACCCATCACTTTTTTTCCCATGAATCAAACATTCAATTAAAAAACCACAAAAAACCCAGCTAGGGTTTTTCATCAAAACCCAATTTCAAAGCAAAACATCATAAACAATAAGTAAAAAAGCAAACTTTTCCGTTACCTGAGCTTTGTTAAAAAAGACTGTATTCTTCTTATGCATAAGAATCTCAGCTTCTCCTTCCTTGATAATTTTGAAATCTTCAATATTGAAAGCCATTGTTTGTTCCTCTTTCTTCTCCTTCTCCTCTTCTGGTTCTCCGGGGCAAGAAGAACACGGAGAGTTGAACACAGAAAAGAGGCTTGAGACAATTCGAGATGCTGCACGAACTAGCTTCAGTTGAAGTTTGAGAGTACGAGATTCTGTAACCAACAGCATAGGAAACCGTTTTCATACCTAGCTTTTTATTTAAATATGTGTAAATTCAAAACCCTACTATCAATTTTTTTTACATTTCTAATGGTCAAAAATAAAAACTTAAATTTTCAACATTTTATCTTTAATGTTAAATAATATTTTGGTTAAGTTTGTGTGTTTTTAATTTTCGTATGTGTATCTTATTTTCTTAGAAATGATCTAAATATTAATATTTATTTGATTTTAATCCTTAAAATTAAAATTTGCAAGAAAATTTATTAGATTTTCTTTTTGAGTTTTTTTTCAGATTTAATTTTAGAAACTTAATTCAAAAAGAATTTTAATAATTCTTTTTTAAAAAATTAAAGAACTTTATTAGTAATCGAAGATAATCCTTCAAGCACAAGATATACTTAAAAGACTAACAAAAGTTAATACAATATCAAATTGGTTCCAACTACATTAATAACGTCAAGAACACTAAAAAGTCAATAAGCTAAATAAAATCAGGCTAAATACACTGTATAGGATTACTCCTTCAGTTGTGGTAATCTACTCTAAAACTCACATAATGAGCTTTCAACCACTAATACATTGTAGTTTTACCTTTTCACAAATTGACAACACCGTTAGAGATTTATTCTGAAAAATACTTTGGTTTCGCGTTTTCCAAACACTCCCCACCGCAACTATCCAAATGACATGCAATGCAATACTACAATCTTTACATGTTCCTCCCAAAGCAACAAGTTGATCATGATGATTTATGCACTGACCCTGAAACCCCGACAAAAAACCCAACCAACCAGAAATAACCTGCCAAACATTATTATAATGCTTGCATCGGACGAAAATGTGATCTTTATTCTCAATCTGAAGACAATCATTACTACATGTCTGATTCTCAACTGATAATATATTACGCCTTACCAAATTATCCTTCGTTGATAATCTATTATGAAACAACCGCCACAGAAAAAGATTTACCTTGAGAGGCACCACTTTAGACCACCATATCTGGGAACCACCATTCATCTAAGGATCCTCTGAGTTTGTGAACAAATAATAAACACTGCTAACATTATAACAACGTGAAGAATGAAGACGTCAACCCCAAGAATCGTCCACCGCCTCTTGCAACATTACAGACTCCAACAGACGAATACATTCCCCCACCAACTCTTTCTCCCATGCAAACGACCTCTTACGCAAACTCCAAGCATCTCCTCCTACTCCCCACCCTAATTCAAACATCTTCACTACTGACGCTTCCTTATACTCCGACAAGTCATAAAGCCTCTGAAATCTATCAATCAATAGCCCTCCTTCCAGCCAAGGATTCCTCCAAAACAAGGAGTTCTCCCCATTACCAACTACTCGCTCAACATTATTAAGCCACCACCCTGTATCACTCAATCTCACCCCTTGGCGGGTTCTATTCATACTCTGCCACCACGCAGACCCCCTTGTTTCCCATGTATTCAACTGACCTCGGCGCTCCCCAAACCAACACGTTAACACCCTATACCACAAACCTCCCCTCTCCACCAGCATCTGCCAACACCATTTTCTCAATAAAGCTTCATTAAACTCCCTTAATTTTCTCACTCCCAACTCACCATTTTCCTTACTCAAACAAACAGTACCCCAATCTAGCCACATTATCTTCCTCTTCTCCTCCGCACCTCCCCCACGAGAATGCATTAAATAAAGATTCGAGAGAAGAAATAATACATGCATGAGCTTTGAATAAGGATAGGAAGTAAATTGGAATAGCAAATAGAACATATTTCAACAAAATTAAATGACCACCTAATTGTAAGAACAAAATTTGGTTATGAAATATCATCTCTGAGTTTTTATGTTAACAAATGAGTATGATTGTATAAATAATTTTGTTGTACTAATGTTTGTTATTTTTTGAGTAGTTAACAAACATGTTCTGCTTCTGATGGATGGAGTGACCAAGACATTAGAAGAAGAATTTATTTCGCTTTTATGCTACACGAGTTTTGTTGAATAGTAGTAAGACACTCCAGAAGGCTCTGAAGTGTAAGCCTTTATATTTGTCTAAAGAAACCAGTCAGAAGATTTGAAGACAAAAGTTACTACTTATGTCCAGATACTGAAGAATCAAGCTTCTAAAGACAACATGTTCTAAGGAAACAGTCAGAAGATATGAAAACAGAAGTTATCACTTAAGTCCAGATGCTAAAGACTCGTGTTTATAAAAGACATTGTGTTCTAAAGAAACCAATCAGAAGATCCGAAGACATAAGTTGTTACTTATGTCCAGATGTTGAAGACTCAAGATTATAAAAGACAACTTGTTTCACAGAAGACAAAGTTAAAAGATCTGAAGACAATGTTTCTAACTAAAGTCCAGATGCTGAAAACTTTGTGTTTCTAATAACAAGGTTCTAAAAAAAAGGATTCTTAAAGAACCAAGTCTAAAGATTCTAAAAGACAGAAGGTCTGAAGATTTCAAAGACTTTGAGTTCTAAAAGTCCAAAGTTATCTACAACGGGTTATGAAGACCAAGTTCTGAAGACTCTAAAGACGTAGCTCTTAAGACTCTGAAAACTTTAAGCTCTTCTGATCCAAGGTTCACTACAACGGGTGCTCATGACCAAGTACTGAAGACTCTGAAGATACGGTTTTGAAGACTCTAAAGACTTAAAGTTATAAAGACATTATATTATGTTCCCGCTTCTAACCTCATGCTTGCAGAAGCCTCTGAAGTGCAGAAGGAAAGAATATAATGCTAACATGGTACAATAGTACACAATACGAAAAAACTTTATACCACTACCTCTCCACTAACTTGAAGAGTGGAAGAGATAAGGACGTAGCGGTATTATTTGTAACGACTCTTTTTCAAATAGCCAACAACTCTAATTTGCTTGGCTATATAAGAAAAGAATCGTATATTTAAAAGATTTTGATGATCTTACTGCAGGTTAGTTGGTTGGTTGCTCAAATCTGCAAGTTGCAAGTCGCAATTTATTGGTGTTCAAATGATAAAAAGTTGTCATTATTAGAACACAACCAAAAAGCTACCATCCATTATAACAACAACAACAGCGAGAATTCTACAAGATGTTATTCAAATCATCAATCATATACATCTTAGAAGAATTATGAAAAGTAAGGAGTTGTTGCTCATATATTTCTTAATGAAGAAAGAATACAAAGATGAAGAATTCTACAAGATGTCATTCAAATCATTAATCATATACATCTTGACAGAATTATGAAGAAGCAAGAAGTTGTTGCTCATAGCTTGCTCAACAATGAAGATGGTGACAAGAAGACTACAAGATGCTACACTTAACTTAGATTATATTCATCTTTGTAGAAATATGTAAAACACAAGATTTGTTGCTTAGATTGTGTTATTTCTTAAGATCTTCATGTAAATTGTTTGTACACAAGAGTTGTTGCTCAGAATAACAATATGTACTTAAATTAGGAGCAATCTGCTTGATAAGAAGCACTCATGTAATCTCCTGAAAAACAATTCTATTTAGAATTGGTTGGTTCCTCAAGTGATCGAGTGTATATCATAAGACTTTGGATACGGACATCATAGATGAAATCCTGGTAGTGGATTTTATTGGGTCAATGGTAGTCATATCTCAAACGGGACTGAGTGAAGGTCAGCCTTCTGAGATCGCTGATGGATATCATTAAAAGGAAATCCTGGTAGGAGATTCTAGTGAATTGGATTCTATTGGGTTAAATGAAGTTATATTCAGTCTGGATCCTTGAACGCGTCATTAGATGTTAGTCACTGGTGGTTGTCCGTGTGATTGTAATCAGATTGATTATAGTGGATGAAGTCCTTGAGATCAAGGCGAAATTACCTCAGAAGGGTGGACTGGAATAGCTTGGGGGTTTCTCAAGTGAACCAGGATATATCGTGTGTTCTTTACTTTTTCTTATTCTTAGAATTTATGTTTTCTGAACTTAATTAAAAGCATTACTTAGAAGTAACAATCAGAAGCATTGTTCAACGAATAATGCTTAGAAGCAAAAGTTTTACAAGAAAAGAAAACTCAATTCAACCCCCCCTCCTTTCTTGCATTTTCTTCACACCTTTAATTGGTATCAGAGCCTGGTTCTGTTATTGATGGATATCAAACACCTAACAGTGTTAAGATAAAGATCCAGATGCTTTATGAAGAAATACTCTAAGGTGATAGTTATTCAATTTTCAACTACTGTCTAAATCCAAAAAATTGAAGAACAAGCTAACAGGAAAAGATTCATCAAATAAGAAGTCATATTTATTGAATGCTTTTGATTAAGCTCCTTGAGAAGTATGAGATGTTTTTAAGAAACTTATTAGTCAACCCTTGACTTTCTCATAAGGTCTTATTAAGAATTTTTTTTTTCAAAAGAAGAAAGACTGTTATATTATAATACAAAAGAACCTCATGATAAAATTGTCTATTCAAGCAGACAAAAGATCTTTTGAAGATCTAATCATTGGTTCTGTCGAAAGAGACTTTACAGAAGACCAGACATTATTGAGGAAAGAACGCTCATTGATTAATCAGAAGTATGGTCAAAGACTAACTCTAAATAAGTTAGCTCAATATTGCAAGAACAAGATTGTTAATAAAAAACTTCAAAGTTTTGATTAGAATAGATTTTACAAGCAGATTTTACAAGCTCCTACAAATATTGTTAACTCTCTCTATCACATAGCTTCTCAGAAATTCATGAAATATTGACCTTATGAAAATAAGCTTCTATTCAAAGGAAGCTTGACAAGCAGATGGATGATTCTGATAATAAAATATCAGAATATATGTGCTCTGAGAACTCTCTCGAGAAGACAGATGGGTAATTCTAAACAGAAGATTGAAGAAATCATCTGAAGAGAAGAATCTAATTCTAGTTCTCATATTAGACATTAGAATTCATAAGAGGATTACTTTTCTCAAATCAGAAAACTATGAGTAAGAGGAATCAGTATGAAAATATTTTTCAGTTCATAATCAAACTTCAAAAAGTGAAATCTGGAATCAAAAGCTTCTTCTTATGATGTTTTTTATAGTCTTTATAATCAACCTCAACCAAGGAAGAACAAAATCATATCCTCTCATCCTAAAGATCTTATTCTTGGAAGTAAAGATGCTCCAGTCAGAACAAGATCAGCTCTCAAACCTTCTGATGAAGTGCTTATGGGTTTAGTCTCTTTAATAGAACCTACATCAATTGAGGAAGCCTTTCTGGATAAGGATTGGATTTTGACTATGGAAGAAGAACTGAACCAATTCTCAAAGAATGATGTATGGGATCTTGTTCATAAACCTAAAGGTGTCCACATCATTGGAACCAAATGGGTGTTCAGAAACAAGCTCAATGAGAAGGGTGAAGTTGTCAGAAACAAAGCTCGACTAGTTGCACAAGGTTATAGTCAACAAGAAGGTATACATTATACATAAACATTTGCACCAGTCTCCAGGTTAGAAGCTATTCGATTGTTAGTTTCATTTTTTGTAAATCATAATATCATCCTTTATCAGATGGATGTTAAGAATGCATTTCTGAATGGTTATATTTCAGAAGAAGTGTACGTCAAACAACCTTATGGCTTTGTAAAATATGAGAAATCAGACTTTGTTTTTAAACTAAAGAAATCTCTTTATGGCTTGAAACAAGCTCCAAAGCTTGGTACGACAGATTGAGAAATTTTCTGTTAGAAAATAAGTTTACCATAGGAAAGGTTGACACTCCACTCTTCCGCAAAACATTAAAAAATGATATTCTAATTGTTCAAATTTATGTTGATGATATTATTTTTGGTTATGATAATCTATCTCTCTGCGAGGAATTCTCTAAGCTAAAGCAGGCTGAGTTTGAAATGAGCATGATGGGAGAACTGGAGTTCTTTTTGGGCATCCAGATTGATCAAAAACCAGAGGCTACTTACATACATCAAAGTAAGTACACCAAAGAACTTACAAAGAAATTCAACATGATAGAATGCATTGTAGTAAAGACTCCAATGCATCCTACATCTATTTTAGAGAAAGAAGAGGTAATTGTAAAGGTTTGTCAGAAGCTATATTGTGGTATGATAGGCTCTCTTATGTATCTGACTGCATCTAGACCTGATATTTTGTTCCATCTTTGCGCTAGATTCCAATCTGATCCTAGCGAATCTCACTTAACTGTTGTTAAAAGGATCCTAAGGTGTCTAAAAGGAACCCCTAACCTTGGCTTGATGTATGAGAAAACATGAGAGTATTCTATTTCTGGTTTCTCTGATGCAGACTATGCTGGAGATTGACTAGAGAGGAAAAGTACTTCTAGAAACGGTCAGTTTCTAAGTAACAACCTGATCTCATGGTCAAGCAAGAGGCAGTCAATAATTGCTCTTTCAATAGCAGAAGCGAAGTACATATAAGCAGCACTATGCATCACTCATATGCTATGGATGAAATATCAGCTAGAAGATTACTAGATATATGAGAGTAACATTCATATCATCTGTAACAATATCGCTGTTATTTGCTAAGTATTTAGGAATTATAAATTCATTAAAGTCTGAAATAAAATAGTCACACATGCGTCTCCAGATCATATATTAGGTCTTAGACCTTTGATGCTTGTCAGTTACATTATTCACGTATTAAAAAAAAATATTTAAAGTTATGAGCAACATTGATATGCCCTCGTAAATAGATTAC